TCATTACAGGTGACCACCGTGTCATGGACCGGCAGAAATCTAAAGTTAGCAGTCAGCATCGACGACAATTCCGCAGGTAGACTGTTACCAGGCGGGTTTGCAATGCTAAAGCGCTTAGACATACTCTGCTTCCGGCATCACCTGCCATCGACGGCATAAAAATCATACAAGAGTCACAGAAACAATATGCACTTGATCAAAAGAAGCGCTGACTAGCATAACAGAAGTATAACGTTACGCGTCCCGATGGTGATACTGTTTCAACGTAAAAGCTACTATGCTGCATTACAGCGCTAGGTCAAGCGCGTATCACGGGGGATGTATTTACATCATCGCAAGTATCCGCTTTCCCCGCTGCTCATACTAAATCTTCTAAAAAGCAGCGTCTTTCTGCTTCGTAAGGATCTTATGATACCCCATTGCTAAATACAACTGTTGTTCGTATGTCTGCTCCGATACGGAGTGGGTTGTCAACTTGTTTGCAGCGGCTGAGAAGATCTCTCGCAGGATGGCACCGTCATGAGGCGGATAACATCCTTAAAGGATGAAGTTTGCTGGTCAAAATAGTGGTGATACTTCGATGGCACGCAACGTCGGACCGCGATTCTTCATCGTCGCCAGTGGTTCTATTAGCAGCATCCTTTACCCGTAACATAAATCAGTAGGCGCTACACGCTGGCCGGAACGTCTATAGGGTAAGTTAACATTATTACCATCACCACCACTATCAAACGGTGCCAGTAGCAGGAGTTATCGCATAAGCGTCATAGCGGAGCTTGCGGCAATATAAAAAAAAAAATAAGATTGTGGCACACAAGGGGTGCCATAGCTACTGCTGATGGATCATGAAAAAAATATATGTGTGTGTCTGTGTGTGTCTACATTTTGGTGAAAATAAGAGTGCAGAGAATAGAAGCCGAAGGCCGACCCCACAAAAAAAAAGCCGCAAGACCGAAAACAATAGCAACAGTTAGTAAAGTTATAGGCACCAGAAAGGTCCCGTGAGCGCAATATCATCCACAAGTGGGGTAGCCCCCCGCGATGACGACCGGTCCATCATATCAGTGTTATTTGTACCTAGGAAACCCGGGAGTGAAGGTCCTCAGGGAAGACAATGATAACAAAAAACAACACGTTCTTACTGAAGGATCCCATCGAAGAGAGGCTCCTCTAAGAAAGCACAGTCTATCTACACGCTTGTACTAATTTCTCGGCGCTGGCGTCGATGAATTTTGTCGTTTCGATTCGAAGAATGTCTCAAAGGCTTCTGGGCTCAAAAAGATCATACTGCTATAATTACCTCAACATACGCATCCATCCGTACTTCGCCATGCGTTTAATAGAAAGGTAATAGTAATGCTGAGATAACATTGAACGAGCTCTTCAGAGAGAATCTTTAACTGCTGTTCAGTTTATTCATCCCCCTACCTGTAATCGCATCTATGTTGAACAAGCAATAATAGAAACCTGTGGACTTCGGACAGAATGATCAATGGCGAACTGCAATACAAATAATTACCGTCAATCTTTTTTTCACACTTGACTTAAATAACGGCATAGTAAAGATTCGTGTTCTAATAGCGCTACGTTCGTGATGCACACTGACATCTAGGTGGCAGCACAGACCTATTTACATGGCGGCGTTCCGTATCGGCTAGCGGTCGCGCACATGGCGCTGTTCTACCGGTCCTTTCGTTAAAATGGTGACACCTTCAACGAATTATAAGATGCTTGATCGGACCATTAGAGATGCTGATAGCGGAACTATCGTAGGTGTGAGCGCAGGCGAACAAAGGAAGCCCGTTCACGTCAGTGAGTGGCACGTTCGGCTTGGTGCAATGCGCAAACTGTCTCTAGTGCGTCTCATCGACAATAGCAGAATATTGGAAATGTTGAATGAAACAACGATCGAACGGAGAAAAAAGCTAATCGGAAGCCGTCGCAGTCAGACAGATGATTCTGCAGGTATCCGCGCGCCGGTTGCGCTATTGCTATGCAACAGCAGCAGCAGCAGCAGCAAGAGATCAAAGCGCAGATCGAGGGTATCTGGATACGGTATCTGTAAAATAAAGAACGTCTACGATGCTACGCAAAAGTAGCATCACCATCATCACCTTCTGCTCGGTAGAGGCAACATGGGTCGCGACGACTATTATATTTTGCAGCACTTTCAACGAAGGTGTCTTATGGGGGTTCGTAGAAGAATTAATTTCGATCAAGATTCACTGACGAAATAAAGATACAGCACCAGCAGCGAAAACCATCACCGAATACCAACAACAGTTTTTCTTCGTATGAGCTATATGCGGACGCACACACATGCGTGCGTGCGTGCATGCATGCATAGTTCTACGAGCGTGGCGATAGTTGCCAGCTTGCGCCGCGTCAAATTAAAAGATGTTATCATACAACATCAACAGTGGCGGTGTCGGGACCAATGGCAGTAAACGTATCGATATTTGTCGCTTCGGCATACATTTTTCAATGTTATGGAAGATAACAACGAACCCGAATCTCATGGCTTAGTCTCAGAGCGAGCAGGCAAGGTGCGACGCTCTATGATACGTCGAACGAAGCTTTGTCGCCGACGAGCCCGACACGATGCGATGATAATATACGTCGTCAGAATGCTTTACGAGCCACAATTGAAATTACTGCTGTGAAAAGTAACGTCGATCTCTGCTTTTGACGAACAAAAAAACACACACACTAGTAATAATAATAACTACAATTCGAACGTGCCTCGCTAGATAAATCGCGTACCTTGAATTAGTCTGTATGCTTTCGTTCTATACTAAGGAAGATTTTCTTCTAATGTTAGCTCTAGCACGTCCACGAGACGACCGTACCGTCAATAGGTCAGGAGAACGCCGCTTTAAAAGGTCCAGCGATGATAATACATTTAGATTAGATAGATCATGGATACTCTAATCACCTTTACGTGAGCATCTTCGTATGCAGGTTGAACAACATATGTAAGCGACTAGGTCTAAAATGTAGGTTCGACTCGGAACAGGTGCGCTGTCTGCGTCTGATTTGGCCTAACAGGATTTGAATCAAATAGGGAAAGAAGCCAGCCAATCAGTGAAGCAAGCCCTGACCACGATAATTACTGGTTGTCACTATCTTCACTTTGTTGTACTAGCGGACGGATGTTTAAACTTCCATGACATCCTCTACAGGCATCGTTACTGTTAAGGCTGCTCCCGTTAGCCTTGCGATCGCTGCCGATATGCTTGAAGTTATTTGTGCTCTTGTGTGTGGTCGCTATTATAATCGTCGTTTAGATTTACCCTTGTATACACATAATGCGCCGTTCTCCAATCACTTGCCCTGTGTATACAATAGTAAGTTGTATGGCTACTATCCACAACGAATCAGCTCGTTCGACAACAGTAAACTCAGTCAGGAGATCTGCTTGCGTTTTATTCGACTCTAGACGCATTTCGGTTTTAGTTTAGTCGTTGATAAACTCGTAAAAGTTTGATCTCTCGACTCAGTGTCACGAGCAATATCTTCCCATCCGTCCGTTGGTCGGTCGGTCCGTCCGTCCGCCCGCCCGCCCGCCCGCCCTTCCCCCGTCTGCTCCCTTTCTTAGAGAAACATTCAGACGAACGACTTTATTGAGCTTAGGGATTAACGGTCGAAGAACGCTCATGTAGACTACGGCTGTATCACAAAAGCGAACGTACACAGACAAACCGAAACAATCAAACATTCAACCACAAAAGAACACTGGAGCCAGAGAGTTGAGTAGGACAAGGAAAATAAAGGCCCAAGTGGAAAAACGGGCAGATAAAAGCCAAGACTTAAGTTCCAAAGGAAGAGCAGCTTTACGGTTAGATGACATCTGAAGATCACAATCTCGAGATTCGACAACTGCTGGGCCACCTGAGAAAAGAAGACAGATCAGGGGGCATGTCTTGCTTTTGCCTAACAAGATGCTAAATATTTTTTCTCCAGTTCTGTCAACGAACCAGATCTTTTAACCCGATGTTGATTGCTGTTTGTATCAGATTCCAACTCTACGATTACTACTCCCCCCCCCCCTCCTCCTCCTCCCTGCTGTGGGGGTATCGCAGGTTCGCGTATTCAGCATAAAAGTTAGATGTAGACGCGTTAGACGCACATGATAATAACACATAAAGACACGGAATAGATTAAATCAAAAGACGCTCTATAGTCATTCAATTGGGCTAATGATATAAGATTTACAATACTGCCAGCAGCGAGCAAGTAAATAATAACGTCGCTGTTATAGACAACAACAGTACACTCTAACGATGAAACTGCATTGCGAAACCTTATTCAGTCACCGTCGTTCTTTGTCGTCTTCAAATTTGCGTGGGCCGCCAAACGCGAACACCTCAACTGCGAGAACGACGAGCTCCTTCATAAGGCCTGCAAAATTGTTAAGTGCTATCTTCATCATCGGCCAGATCCCAGCTACAATGTCGGCCCCATCGTTTTCTACGAGGATCGGTATATGCTCCCAGGCCTGGAGCACACTTTAAAGGCTGCACATACGCAGCCTCCTCGTATGACTCATGTCCCTGCTGGAGGTTTTCAGAGATGACAAATTAGCTATAAGCAAAATGCCAACGCGTCTTTTCGTCGGTGCGATCATCGATACTTCTAATAATACAATTATCACATTGCAATACACGGACCCCTTATTAGCGTTCCAATAAAAACGGCTTTCGTTTGAGCTCTAAATAGAAAACAAACATGTGCGACTGTGTAGAATAATGTATAAAAAAAAAAAACAAAGCAACTGCTCGAATCTTTGACCTTACATAAATCGTTTGCAGAACGAAACGCATTATAATTGTACTGGTACAAACTTAGTCGTCATACTTTCTCCAGTGATTTCATATTTACGTGCTTGTAAATCTAAATAGTCAATGCTCAGAGTAGCCTTTAGGAGATGGAGTGGGTGATAAACTATTGCCTGATAAAGTTACTCAATCGAAGTAAAACGTAACTACATAATTACTTACGAGTTGAGTGCTCTCAGGCGAGTTACGTCCACTTCCGGTAAGGCTTCCGTTGTGATTATTGTTGTTGTTGTTGTTGTTGTTGTTGTTGTTAAGCTCAGTTTCCTCTCCGTTGGGGTTTGAATGGTTAGGGGTGTGGAGCTTTGTGGGAGGACTCTTCCTCTTCGAAGCCATCTGTAATTCAGATGAAGAATGAACGGCACACTTAGCTATCTTCTGTTCTATCCTTATGGTTATTTAATTATTAGAAAATTTGCGCTTGCCTATTTAAGCTGGTAGGTCAGTCTTAGGATTGTCGTCAAACGCTAACAACTTTACCGATATACGTGAAGCAATGTGTCGTCGATATAATCATTTGTCAGTCGTATTTGGTCAATCAATCATTCGCCTGATGACTATCGTTCCCCTGACCACCCCATTCGATTTACTCATCTTATTCTCGCAATGATCATGATCTACTAACAAAGCCAAGAACGAGCACGTCAAACCGAAACTTTTCTTCATTATGCCAAAGCTCGTGTCTTCTTTTTGTACTCCTTTATTGTTATTATTTATAACAATCATCCACTCGTCTACATCGCATGGTCCGTATCTCTTACAATTGCAGCTCTAGAATGATTGAGCAACTGAACATTAAAGCATCGCTACCTTTTTTGATGAGGAATCTCATCTTGAAGAATGTGAGGATGCTTTTAAGTAAAATAGCGTACATCGATGAGTGAGTAAGGAAGATTCATTTGACGATAACTGCGCCCCATCTGGCTTTCATGAAGCTAATCGGGTCTGAAGTGCTGCTTAATTCTACCACGGTTAACTGATGCTTCTGACCGGACGTTCTGTACCTCGAATTTTAATGTTAGTTTATTGGCGCTTCCTGGGCGATTCTTTCGGGCCTGATTCTCGTCTCTCCGACTCCACATTGGGCTCGTTTCATCAGAATGTTTAGTGTTTCGTCTTTGATTTAAACGCGGCAATCACCATAAAGCGGAGATGGCCATATTTAGAGAACGTCCGCAGCACGAGACTGACAGCGGCCACACTATTGAAGCCAATAAGAGCGGACAGCAGGAAGAACAGAAGTTCTAACGAGCAATTTAGGGACGCACTAGGTGACAGAAAAAGAACCGACGTAAATTTGACGAAGTGCCAAAATAAAGAAGGAGTAATCGAGAGCGCCGAAGAGAGAATCGGGAAGCGCGATCTGAGCAGTGGACGACAACAGTGAAGAAGGAACATGAAGAGAGGCGAAGATAGAAGTGGGAGATCGATAAAGGAAGATACCTTACGCAAACGGGGGGACAGTTAACAAGAAGTCTGCGTTTTCGTGTCGTAAAAGAAACTACACCAACAGGCCGTAACAGTGCTAGATCACTCTAACCAAGGCCAAAGCCGGCCAGTGATCAGCAGGGCCAATGGGCGACAAGTGAGCGCAATAAAGAGAAAAGCTTACGGTAACCAAAAGTGACACGAGCAACGTCGGATAGTACACACGTAGGTACTGATTGGAAAATAAGGCCTACTTCTGCTAATCTGACCTGTCCGGGAGTCGCGCGTCGTTGAAGCGACCGTCCTTTGCAGCTACAGCCAGTGCAACTATTGTGTTGCACTGGCTGTAGCTGCAAAGCTTGTATGAGCATACATAACGGTAGCAGCACTCCACCGCTGTTACTGTTGGTACTGCCGTTCTACTTGATCAGAGAAGTAGGAGATCATCAAAATTCGAAGCTTGAATAAAAATAGAAATGATGACGGAATGAGTACAGCTGACTGCGTTACCCAGCAAAGGCATAATCACCTGCCTAATAGAAAACGGTGTGTAACAAAGCCGTGCAACTTCGAAGTTCCTGCACAGGGCGTGGTCTGGAAAAATCCTTCGTTCCGAAGCAATAAAAGATCGGTCAATGATGTGATTACGTTCGCTCATGCGAACTCGCGCGGCGGCATCAGCTGTTCTTAATCAACAGAGTGCTTAATTCAAATTCACAAACTCATAGCTACTATTGAATATTGTTTGGTTAATTGCACGCGTCCAGGTGGGTTATCGGAAGCGCATATGCGCAATCATCCTTCCGACTCGTAACAAAGAACCTGGCGTTGCGACCTTAACAGCGAATGGTCCTAAATGCCTTTTGTCCTTTTTTCAACGATTAATGAACGCGCCAATAGCGATTTGAATTCGTCGAAATTATTGACCTTTGTCTGCCGAGCTTATATCTTTTTGTTTTTGATTCCTGAGCAAGGCCGCGCTTTTTGCGTCAACAGACAATAGGAACTTTACACCGCTAAACGTACTATCTTCATAAGAAGCCTTGGCTTCATCAAAGCAAGATTGAACGATAGATAAGCAGGGAGATGATTGCTACTGTTGATCACACACTCATTTGAATGATGCCTGAAAACTCACCGCTCTACCCGTTGGACCTTTCACGATTCGAACGAATGCGGTATGGCTTAGCTACATCGACGTACTAACTTTAAAGCCATTCCATCCCCATGCAGAGTGACGGGACGCCCATACGTGTCTGTGTGTGTATAAGTGGCTTAATTTGAGTCAATGGCGTCTCTTTTTTTTGCCCTCCTGGTTCCAGCGTCTGTAACCATTGATACGTTGAATATAGAACTTGCGTTTATTATATTCCTTGCCGGGCGAATGGCGACGATGAAGGCACATGCAACTGTTCACTCTCGTCCTTTTCTCCCCGGACGCCAGCACTAAAAAGGCCGACAAAGATCATATAAAATTATAATAATTCAATTTAATTAACGATACAGCAGTTATTTTCCATTGAGGCTTCGACGTGCGTTGTTAAAAGCGTTGATTCTTTCTATAAATGTTCGTTCTGCTCTGCCTGACTAAATGAAGCAGGCAGACCATGATTAGGCTGGCACTAAAACAGCATCCCACACTGAGTCGGAACGGAAGGAAAAAATAAAATTGAGACGCTACCGCCGCAACTGGACAAAGATTTGCCGAAAGGCAGACGGAGGGCAAGAAGTCCAGAATCGCGAAGAGGACGCCAAAGATTTAGTTAAAAAGGAGGGAAAAAAAAATAATGCCTGAGAGCGTAAAAAGTACCACTGGTCCTTTTCGCTTGTTAAGCTGCCTAGCTACTCCTTAGTAATACGTATATAGATTATTTCAGTGAACATCGCCATTAGCAACAGCAGCGACTGTGATAACAGCATCGTGAACAAGAGACGCCAGAAGAGTTCGTTTTCGACAGTTTCAACAAGGTGCCATCTCATAGCGAAAACGATGGATGGTGGTAGTGTAGCACCGCCAGCGGAAAATGGTCAAGCGCGTTTGCACCATTAACACAACTGAATATCAGAAGTAGAATAGTTGATAAAGATACAGATGCTGATATAGACAACGTCCAGCAATGGTGGACATTTCGATGGATTCAGATATCTGAAGGATAAAAAAAAAGAAAGACATTTTGTCGGGAAACGAGAATAGGGAAAGTCCAGATAGCTTAACCGCGTCGACGACGTTTCCCATTAAATAGAGAGCTATAGTGGCTAATTTGTATGAGTGAATTTGCCATTATCCTTGTAGCGCTTGATGTAATGTTGTATATACATGGATGTAATAGTTAATTTCAGCAAAACGTTACAAATCTGTTTATAATGAACAATGCGACGAAGGTGACAACATAAACGAACCTCGCCTTGAGCTGCTTTCTTTTTTCAAATGTACTTTCTTCGAAAAACGGGAGAGAATACGTTCGCAAATTCTATTGTAATACTGTTGTAGATCCTATTGTTAGCCGAGAAACTAGCGAAAATGGCCGAGCGATCAGTGGCACCTAGTACAATTCACGCTGACATGTGTTATGAATCATGTGTTTAACGAATTCTATTGCTCTGCACGTTTGTCCTAGTCGATTCAGGTAATCTCGACTAGTCAACTGCGCGCCAGTACATTTACCGTAGGACCAACCATGGTCTAGTTTCACTCTTAGAAATGGTAAAACGTTGAGGACATTCGCTCACTGTCTCTCTGTCGCCCGTTGCTCACTCGTGACCCGTTTCGCTTTTTCAGTTACAAAAGGCAGCAACGTGACAATGTTGATGTCAAACGTTGTCTTGTGGATGCTGTCGACAGTAGCGCTACTCTATTGCAGCGGCGGCGACGGCGGTGGTAGTGATGATGGTGTTTCCGTCAATGCCATCATCGATGAACAGCGGCAGTCACAGTAGTAGTAGCAGCAGCAGCGGCAAACGTCATGGCTGCACAATGGACCCTCTTCAATCCTGTTTGGTTCGAGCAGGGGACAAAACTCAACAGGACTCGACGACGCGTCCCAATTCAACCCATTGGTACATTGTATTGCTAAGAAAGAAAGAACTGCGAACAAGGAAAAAGGGACAATGAGTGTAGAGACAGTTTGTTTCGTCGGTTGACTGGCGAACCATAGCTCATTCAAGCCAAAAACCGAGATCTCAATGGCGGATGACGATAACAACAACAGCGATGGCTCGACCACGGCGGCGGATGGGGCAAGCACAACGTCGAGGTCAGGTCCGTGCTCCGTGCCCCCTCGTCCCCCCCCCCCCCTACTTGTCCGCTTGCAGCAGCAGCTTTTGCTGGCAGTTCCTCTTCAATCTTTTCGTCTTCTTGTTTTCCTTGCCTCTTGATTCTTTTGCGTCGAAAATGACGACACCTCTTCGAGGTTGGCGACCGTGACATAATGATGGGTCTGCTACCAGTAGAGAGGTGGACGCATAGTGCGCCGAGGACTTACTATACGGGACCACAGAAGCAACTACATCGATGTTGATTTTGATATAAGAGGGTGCGAAGCGCCGTCTGCGAAGTTTTGAGCTGCGGCAGACATAAGCGAGCCGTAGAATCGCAATGAGTATGTCACCTCTCCCAGTGGGGATCCTGTCTCTTCGGCGAAAGTATTTCTTTGCTATATTTTATAAACTCACTTGCACATTATAGAAAGAGTGCACACATATACAAAGATAAAAACAGCATATGCACATCTTAAGGGATTCTACCCTGACATTCACACAACTAGCGTTCTTTAAAAACAGATGCTGAGGCTTATTCGCATTACGCCTCGAAGATTTAATGCTGACCTATATAAAAACGTTTGCTTGCGTTTCGATACAGGAATCTGATTGCGATAGATACAGACGTTTTTTATTACTAAGTGCAACAA